TGGTAGACGTGAGGCAAGGCATTGTGGATGTGCTGCGCTACCCTTCCTTCCACCCATCCTAATGCCCCGAGGCATTACTCCAATCCCCTTAACATCCCCTCCCCTCACACACTGTCTGACAACTCCTCAATCTCACATCATCATCACATCACCTTACCGCCTCCCCTCCTCCTCCTCTCTATAGCTCTATCTATCTATCTTTCCATCTGTATCCTCCCTAACACCATTTTCACCCATGCCATGCCGACTTGTTTGTAAACAGTGACATGTGCTCTCCCCTGAGATGATCATTCCTCCTTTGACGGCACTCCCTACTCCATTCCATCTCTACTCATCCATTCATCTCCATCACTCGCCTTCACACTGACAACACCCCCCGCGTCAATCAGATTTGCAATGCACTTAGTTGAACATCAACTGTTTCGCCAATTTCAACCTCTCCATTTTGTCCCCCTTCCTACCTCTTCTCTTCGCCGTCCCACCCCAATCTCCTGTCTTCTCTGACCCGTCGATGGCACCCGACACACAAACGCTGTGCTGATTGTTCACACCAAAGTCGCGTACTGAGACTGCTCTTGCTTGTGGCATAGCTCCCATTCCCAATACACAGGATACTCCTATTCTAGCCCACTTCTTCTGTGGAGTTGCAATTTGCAATTTGCTGCTTGTTTTGCTTTGCACAACTCTTATCAGGTGACGCTGCATTTTTTCCCACCTGCTCCATACGGTACAGTAGCTTCTACAGCTTTAATTTTTTGTTGATGCCTTGACCGCAATCAATCCGTTTGGATTAATTGTTTGACCCCAGTATCTGCAGTTCACTTTTCTTCAAATAACGGTGTGACCATTACTTAAAATAAACTGTCGAAGGAACATGAAAGTAGGACTTTTTACGTTCCATAAAGCACACCTTCAGTTGTCAAAACCACCAATTCCTTTGTAACCTATGAAATTCAATGAAATGAAATTCTCTCAGAGCTCTTGAACAAAAGTAAATTGATTAGTGTGAATACGCCAGAATTGAGGAAACACAAATTGGCTGGAAGGTTGTACTTAGCCGACGCGGTTGAAGGTATGACTATAGTCACCATCTGTGAGTTATTTAGCATCCATAACAAGACGCGTACCAACACGTCGGTGCAGTGACCATCGTGGTCGCAGAGTGATCAAGGCACCTGTCGGCTTAATTTGCATGAAGCTCACACTTACCCAACGCATACACAGCCATCTAATCTAAAATTTAAATTCGCAGACTTCGCCCTCAGCTACAATTAATGCCTTTGAGGAACTAAAACGAGAGGTTGAGTTATTTGAACAAAATGCTGTCACAATATCCCAAGAGGGTGAGATGACTACATATGTGCCTATGTACAGGTGGATATGATATCATGCAGTAGAAAAGATGTACAACACTAAAAGGTCTAGATGCGCATGGGTATGATGCGCTTCTTGGATCGCCGCTTCAACTTCAGGAGAGTGAACAGGTTATCAACTTCCGTTTGGACAGAGGGGACGGTTTGGTGGGGTGCAGGTACTGGGGCTGCAGTCGACGTGGAGACCGCCTTAGCTTTAAAAATGAGGGAAACATCGGGTTTAAAGGCAAGAGTGCAGCCTTCAATACTGCCCTCAAACACACCTGCAACTCACAAGCTAGTCTTGCTCTAAGAGCAGTTACCAGTTCTGGGTCTTCGATGAGCCTCTTAAAGAGATGTATGGTGTCAGTGAGGAGAGTCTCTAGGTCTTCCACGGTGTTAATCTTCTCCTAGATAATAAAAACATTCTCAATACGTTTAAGATATAAAGAGATACATTAGGTGATCCGATGACTTACGGGAACCGCAACCGAATTAACAGGGGGTACGAGCCTTCGCATAGTGCTGATAGTCTGATCCAAGTGGGCGATGTCTGCAAATCGAAGGCGTCCGGGATGACTGGAAGCTCGTAGGATGTGCAAAGCTCGTGCTTGTCTTGACATAGGGGAGAAGTTCGGCTTCAAAATAAGATTGACACTTAAGGTTAGTCACAAATGAGAGTGATTGATGTGATAAGTGAGTGTAGCAGCATTCTGGCAGGCATTAGTCCTTAACCGCTAGGTGATAGTGCGCTTTGGGACACCAGATCAGTCTTGACCCAAACAGTTACCGCACGATCGCTAGCCCATTCCACTGTCCGGTCAGCCTTTGGATCTCGTAGAGGGACATCAGAATCCGATGTTAGTAACCGATGGACGCACACGCACCCCATCATTTCGCGACGTGTGCCTTTGTTTATTGCTGTGGGCAGATTGGTTGCCACCCCAACAACAACGCCAGATGCTGACTTAGAATCCAATCTGTCTGCTATCAATGTTTTCATGTTGCCATGGTACTTCTCTAAGGCACAAAGGTGCGCATTAGCTGATGGATAGAGATGGTGTGATTGTGGACAAAAAGCGACTGAGTCACTTGGACGGACGCACGCACCTACAACGCTCAATTCCATGCTAGTTCCCTCACCCATCTGCTAAGTGGACAAATCTGGTTGAACTAAAATCCACCCACGCCAGATGCCTTTGAGGCCTCTTTCTCTACTTAAAATAGTGAGTTGAAGACACTCCGAAACCATGACGACCAAAATCTGACAAATCAAAATGAAAAGTGTTCGAAAGAGGCGGCTGCATTGTTGCTGATCACGCGGTTGCTCCAGGGTCTGAGTCAGCACTCATCACAAAGTACAATGGGACGTCGTTGTCGTCGTCACCGACAGTCTGGACAAAGGCAATAAATGCAATAAAAAAAATCGGGATGTTTGGGACGTTCAGTTCACGTGGCTTCTGCTCTAAGCCTCTCTGCATTTGTACCAACATCTGCAGTCATGGATACATTGGACACCACGAACTAAGAGCAGAACTTTTGTAAACCACCTTTACTCAAGGCTTACTATTTACCATAAAGGGTGGAGAGAAAGACCCCAGAGTGAAAAATCGTTGAAAGGAGCATTGGATGTCCCTAGCTCAGACTTAAGAAATGGTAATGAGATGTTTTAATAAAGCTCAGGAACGATGCACAGAATGAGTCTTGTCTTATTCAGCAGTATTTTTTTCCACTAGATGATGAGTCAAGGTTAACACAGTGAAAAAAAGATAACCATTCATTGTCTAAAGACATGGCCCAAACCTCATCCAAGAAAACGGTTTTGAGTTTGTGTCATGGGGCCAGAGTTCCACCCAATTTCGGGTGTAAAGTTAAAATGGCGAGACGAGGTTGCGACTCACTAACGAAATGGCGACCGAAGAACAAAAGGCATTCATTCGAAGGAAAAAAGATACAGACGTTCTTTACAGCTAGAAGCTTCGTTTGAAGATAAAATTAAAAACTTAATCCCATTCAGGGCCAGGCCATTTATGTTTCTGGTTGGAGTTTAATTCTTGAGTTTCCCAACTAGATCACTGAAGGTGTTCTAAACACTTGGTTTCTACAGGTGGAATAATCGTAAAAAATTTATTAACCCCGTTTGGTATGCCAGAAACCAAGCGGTGATGGCAATGCTTCAATCTAGATGAACAAAGTATTGTATGCTTATGGGAGAACTCGGATAGACCTTTCTGGAGAGCTATCAGAAGCCTGAGGAACCAGGCGCTAAGGATGATTTAGACCTTATAGAGCAGAAAAGTGGAAACAAAGAGCTCTTCAAAAGATCTCGCAGATATTTACGTGTGACTACGCAGAATAGTGCATCACAGAGGTATACTTAAATCGCGTTAAGCATGACACCCCGATTTGTGTGCCCATCTGACGGATATCAGTGTAAGGGACGGTGGCATATGCTGGCCCAGCCATCAACACAGGATCCACAAGCCATCTGTCGCACTGACGGGGAGTTGGGTGGACGATAGGCCTCACTGGCTTACGGACAGGTTTAGGTGAGGGGAAGCAGAGCAGGACGGCTGGAAAACACGTGTCGCCCGCATGCACGTGCTGCGCCCTGTAGACTCGGCCACGAGGGCACACACCCACACGAAACGGGACAGGTGCCACCCCGGATGAGTCAGAGCACCTCGGCCACGTTCATGATTCCTTCCCCTCTTGCAGCCTCTCGATTGAGAGATTAAAATTAGTTTTGCATAGGATGGGGACTTTTGATGAGTAAAATGGCAAGGACTATGAGTGTAGTCTAGCAACTTACGATGCGTTCCTTTCAATTTCATTACTGATTTTTGTGTAAAGACCTGTTTCTTTGCACAAATAGAGCCCAAGTTTTTCGTCTATCTAATTTGATGGTTATAATTAACCCAAAATTTAGCTGCGAAGAACAACTATTTTACTTCATATGATAATGCTCTCAAACATAACGATAGGTATTTCATTAAAATACCTCACATCTGCTGCCTTGCAGAGCGGAAAAAGCAGTCTCCTTACCTTCGGGTAAGTGAGACAAACGACATTACAACTCAACTGATTTCATGAGAACATCGTGAGCTTCTCAACTCGCTGTACCCCGCAATACGATCCATAAAATTAGCAAAACATTAGTCAACTATGAAGGTGTCCTGTGGAAGATAGACCAGATGGATTTTTGCATCCGAATTGACACGTTATTTGGGTGTTGCTTCGGTTTCCCTACGAAAATGAATGGAGCAGAAGGACAAACAAATCACTTCACTTCTTGCAACCAGTTCGCTCTCCCACCTGTTCGAATCGCTAGCTTAAAGACCGGTTGATCATTTAACCAGGGTACAAATGAGCTACTTTTTACTGAGTGAATACGAAACAGCAATTAAGACGAATCTCAGTCGCTTGACAATGTAAGCCCTTCATACTTGCTTGTCCTCCTTTTGTTCCCTTCCGTAAGACGAAGCTTTACAACCCCGTAGAGTCGGTAATTGACGAGCTCATAGCCAAGGTAGTACACAAAGTATGAATGTCACAAGTGTTTAAACCAGCTTCCTCTCACTCATTTTACTTAATAAAAATGGAAAATTCGTTGAATTATCGTAGCACAACACATAAATCACCGCCATATTCATTGAAAAGTTTTGCAATGCAATAAATCAACTTCAATGATACAATGCCCCATCTCAACGAAATAAGGGAGTTGTGCTTTAATAGTCAAATTTCAGTTTGTTAATTTTGCTTTAAAATCATCTCTATCCCTAAAATGGAGATCATAGAGCAAAATTAGGCATGCAGATGATAATTTTTAGCGAATAATATACCTAGTCAAGAAAAATTATTTAAGACAATACTCAAAAAGAAGCTATGAAAATCATAAAATTGTTCTTCCTCTGCTTTTCCTCAGATAGTTGATGACACTTGGTTCATTACCTACCCAAGATGTTGCAAAGACACAAACGATTTCGAAACGGATAGATTAATTTTATAGATTTTCCCATTCAATGGAATCGTTTTTTTAACTCGAATGTTCTGCAGCCCTCCAGCAAAAAATGAGCATATAAGTTAATACTGTTAAAAGAGAAAACATTTACCACTGCAACATTAAGCAGATATATACGTAAAGGCATACCGATGACGGCATTGATAATGGCAGCAATAACTCCCAAGACTACGGATAACCGTCCGCAACAGACCACGCTACTGATCAAATGAGGCCACGCGTGAGTGCGCGCAGCCAAAACCCACTAATGCGCTGTGTGGAGGCGCCAGCAGCCAATAAGCTGCTAGCGCACGTGCCTCCATAACAAGCGCATTGGTCGAGCTACACATGCACGTGCGCACGCACACATTTGCTCCACGATTGCACCAATTTCCTCCCTGCCCCCTTCCTTCCCTTCGCCTAACACGCGTATGGGATGAGTCATCGCAGTTCGTTGAAGGTGTTTGCAATATAGGCGAGAGCGCGGTCCCACCAAATCAATGCGATAGGGCGTTAAGGTATGGGAATATGTGGGAAAGGGGAGGACGGAAGAGGGAAGGTATGTACCGCTTTTTTAGATGTGATGGGAGAGGCAGGTGCTTCATTACCTGGGGCTTAGTCATTTGCCCTCAGAATGGACAAAAGAGATGATGAGAACAAGATTTTAAGTTCAACTAAAATCGCTGTGGGGAAAGAGTTACGGGAAAAGGTGCATTTGTGGATTGTTATATCATTTTTAATTTAACTGTTTTTAATACTGACTAGCTGAGTAGGAAAGGGTATATTAACGCCGGTTACCTGTAATGTAGCTGTCCAGTAATCCATTTTAGTGGTTATTCTGCGCCGTGGAAGTAGGTAAGGTATCATGTAACTGATACCAAGACGTTATCTTTATCCTGCCTTATAAAGAAAACGGCATATTATTTTTGCAACAAAATTTCAGAATGGGTTGATATAGATATGATAAAGACAACCCTTGGTAATTCCTCTTATATTGCGCATGATACGACACGTCATACCATTGTTACGAAATTCGTTCCTTCTCTTTTTCCCTTCAACAGTTATCTTGCCTTCGTAGCTTGCAGGAGAAGTCTATTTGGTAAAATCAAAACAAAATACCTTTGCGAATGCCCCAAATAGCCTTTTGAAGTACACCAAAGACAAAGAGCACAGCACAGAGCACACCGCATGGATTCTATTAACCAACTATGGCGCACCAGATACCATACTCAACCAATCAAAAAAGTGACACGAAATGTTTGAGGGTAAAGGGCTTTTTCGAAAAAAAAACAAATTTAATTAAGCTTTTAAAAGAACTCTATAAAGAATATTCTATGCGTCTCGTCAATCTACGTCTAGATTAATTAAAGCTTAGAGAATTGTAAAATATTCGCTATGCAGTTCCTAAAAATGAAAAGAAAAATTGCGTGACGCGAAACTAGTTTCCTTGGTGGAACCTTTCAAATTAGTGCAGCTTGATCATGCGACAAGCTATGATTCAATTAATTGAATTGGTGTGACAGCAACGCAGAAGTGTGGGAAGAGGCAGCCAAATCCATGAACTCAGAACATGACTTAAAAAAAGGTCCTAGCATATAATTGGTCTAAGGATTCACGACTAACTCACGCTTGAGAACTCGCAAAGTGCACCAAACGCGAAGTGAAAGCTCGCATTAGCCAAGTGAACATGATAGCAAAAACATCGTAAGGGGCTCTTAGAAAATTCAAAAAATTTTATGGTTGTTGGAATAAAATTGTGGCGATATCAAGCAAAAAAAACAGCAGCAACGGAAGCAGCACCAAAAAGGCCAAATTGCAACTCAACGGAAGAAATGGACTTAAATAGGAGTATACAGTGTATTGGAAAGGGAAAGGTTGAAGCTGATTTTGGGGGGGCAGGGAAAAAAGAGATAGATAGATAGACAGAGCTATAGAGAGGAGGAGGAGGGGAGGCGGTAAGGTGATGTGATGATGATGTGAGATTGAGGAGTTGTCAGACAGTGTGTGAAGGGAAAGGATGTTGAAGGGGTTGGAGTAATGCCTCGGGGCG